CACCATTGCTTATCATAATTAAAAATACTCTACTTACTCAATACCCAGAGGTAGATCAGAGTTACATAGAGAAAATGTTCTTCCACTTTATAACCAGTTGTGCACCTCACTCAAAAAGAACCACTGACCTTGGGGCCACATATTTCAAAATTTTGCAAATATTATCATAAAATGGTTGATTAATACCACAAAGCAGGTTTCAAAGCATTAATTTATTTTCAGATTATGTACCCCCTCCCCCCCCCCTCGGGGCATAAAAAAACAATTTTGCTAGATGCACCTTTCTTCATCATAAATATATATACTTGGATCATTGGCATAAAATTCACAATTATGGAAAAGGCACTCTTGCTTTTCATAACTATGTGCTTAGTTAGTTTATTTAATACCCAGGAGCAGAGAAGAAGATTTTCAAAGAAATAATGCATTTTCACTATATAATTTATAGAGCCCCGCCCTAACACCAGAACCCCTGACCCTGGGGCCATAAAATTCACAAATTTGGAAGAGGCACTCTTGTTCATCATAACTATGTACTTAGTTATTAGTTTATTTAATACCCAGAAGCAGAGAAGAAGAGATTCAAAGAATAAATGCATTTTCACTATATAATCTATAGAGCCCCGCCCTAACACCAGAACCCCTGACCCTGGGGCCATGAATTTCACAATTTTGGTAGAGGACTCAATGCTTATTACATTCATGCTAACAGTTTGCCTGCTCGATGTCCATGAGTAAAGAAGAAGATTTTTAAAGATTGCATTAATTTTAGTGGTTTTGGCCCCACCCCTCAGGCCCCAGGGGGGCGGAGACCATGACCATAATTTTTGTTCCCCTTCACCCATAAATGCTGTATACCAAATTTGGTTGAAATTGGTTCAGTGGTTTCAGAGAAGAAGCTGAAAATGTTCAAATGTTAACACACGACACACGACGCACGACGACGGACGAAAACGGATAGCAATAGGTCACCTGAGTTACTCAGGTGACCTAAAAACAGTGTCATTATTCACCCCATGCAGACAGACATTCTTATAGATGCAGTGAATCAATCGAATTTCCTTTTTATTCACTGTCTTTTGTATAGCGTAATAACATGTTACCATTCTTCGCAATTTTTCTGTATTTATATGAAATTTAGAAGAAAAAGATAATAAATTTTGACTTTGCAGTAGCATTGAGGTAACGTATTATTGTTCCAGATATAGTTTTTTTTAAATTAATTTTCACATATATGGTATTAAACCAAAGATATATCGTTTTATGCTGAAATCAAGCAAAGAAAATACATCTTGACCTATTGAGAGCAATGCATGTTCAATAATAATAATTTCTAATGAATTCTACGGTCTTATCAAATGACTCTTGTATGGATTACAAGTAAATTTTTTGTTTGAGAAAATAATTGTTTCTAGAAAGACTGAATGGATGTCGCCCGCTAGCTGTTCAGGTTTCCCCCTGATGTCATAAAAAAGTGAAATGTTAAGCAAACACTCACTCATAATGCTAAACACCACTGCCGAATCCATAATCTATATACATGTAACTATTAAAAATTATTAATAATTAAAAGAGACGATGAGAAAAAAAAATAATGCGCATGTGCAAATATTACCGGGTAAATATTATGTAAAGTTCTATTAATTACCTTGGTAATATTACAAAAGAACAAGAGGCCCACGGGCCTTATAGGTCACCTGAGTATTGTGTAACAACTTTCAAACAATTAAATTTAGTTCATGTTTTAAACCAGAGGCCATGAAATTCACAATTTACAATTTTGAAAGAGGCACCCTTGCTTATCATAATTATAAACTAAGCATGCTTACTCTTTTTACTTAATACCCAGACGTAGATCAGAGTTACAAAGAGAAAATGCACTACCACTTTATACCCAGTTGTGCACTTCACCCTAAAGGAACCAGTGACCCATGGGCCACATATTTCAAAATTCTGCAAATGTTATCATAAAATGGTTGATTAAGACAAAAGAGCAGATTTCAAAGCATTAATTTATTTTTAGACTATGTACCCCCCCCCCCTCTGACCCTGGGGGCATAAAAAACCACTTTGATAGATGCACCTTTCTTCATCATAAATATATATATACTTGGATAATTGGCATAAAACCCAGGAGCAAAGGAAAAGATTTTCAAAGAATTTATTTTTACTATATAATCAATAGAGCCCTGCCCTAGCACCATAACCCTTAAACCTGAGGCCTTAAAATTCTAAATTTTGGAAGAGGCACTCTTGCTCATCATAACTAAGTGCTTAGTTAGTTTATTTAATACCTATAAGCAGAGAAGATTTTCAAAGAATAAATGCATTTTCACTATATAATCTATAGAGTCACACCCTTACACCAGAACCCCTGACCCTGGGGCTATATAGTTCACAAATCTTGAAGAGGTAGTCTTGCTCATCATAACTATGTGCTTAATTAGTTTATTTAACACACAGGAGCAGAAAAGAAGATTTTCAAAGAAACAATGCATTTTCATTACATAATATATAGAGCCCCGTCCTAACACCAGAACCCCTGACCCTGGGGCCATAAAATTCACAAATCTGGAAGAGGTACTCTTGCTCATCATAACTTTGTGCTTAGTTAGCTTATTTAATACCCAGGAGCAGAGAAGAAGATTTTCAAAGAAATTATGCATTTTCAAAATATAATCTATAGAGCCCCGCCCTAACATCAGAACCCCTGACCCTGGGGCCATAAAATTCACAAATCTTGAAGAGGTAGTCTTACTCATCATATCTATGTGCTTAATTAGTTTATTTAATACCCAGGAGCAGAGAAGAAGATTTTCAAAGAATTATTGCATTTTCACTATGTAAGCTATATAGCCCCCCCCCCCCCAAACACCAGAACCCCTGACCCTGGGGCCATAAAATTCACAAATCTGGAATAGGCACTCTTGCTCATCATATCTATGTGCTTAATTAGTTTATTTAATACCCAGGAGCAGAGAAGAAGATTTTCAAAGAAATAATGCATTTTCACTATATAATCTATAGAGCCACGCCCTAACACCAGAACCCCTGACCCTGGGGCCATATAGTTCACAAATCTTGAAGAGGTAGTCTTGCTCATCATAACTATGTGCTTAGTTAGTTTATTTAATACCCAGGAGCAGAGAAGAAGATTTTCAAAGAAATAATGCATTTTCAATACCTACTTATTTAGCCCCGCCCTAGCACTAGAACCCCTGACCCCAGGGTCATTAATTTCACAATTTTGGTAGAGGACTCATTGCTAATTACAATCATGCAAACAGTTTGACTGCTTGATGTCCAGGAGTAAAGAAGAAGATTTTTAAAGATTGCACTAATTTTAGTGGTTTTGGCCCCACCCCTCAGGCCCCAGGGGGGCAGGGATCATGAAATTCACAATTTTTGTTCCCCTTCACCCATAAATGCTTTGTACCAAATTTGGTTTAAATTGGTTCAGTGGTTGCAGAGAAGAAGCTGAAAATGTTGAAATGTTAACGCACGACGAACGACGAACGACGCACGACGCACGACGAACGACGACGGACGAAAACAGATAGCAATAGGTCACCTGAGTTTACTCAGGTGACCTAAAAATCATTTTACGTTCACTCTGAAAACGTTTGACGTTGTTGAAAAACACGACATCATTATGAATTTGTTATCTTTGTATCTTTGATTAAAATGAAAAAAAAAACTACTTAGAGTGGACGTATATCATGTATATAGGACAAAAGTATTCATATGCTATTTGACAACTTTTAACCTTACTCTACCAAAATCCGTGAAAAACTCAAAATGCATAAAAATTGCTGAAAAGGGCCCTTTTTCCATGGGCGCAATCAATTGTGTGACCAGTACTATTTTTACTTTAACATTTAACATCCCCGGGTTGCTATACGTTCCTGGAATTGGCTTAATATATACAGGTTGATTAAGATATCAAATGCATAAAGTTTATGTAATTTATAAATGAATTTATTATTTTAAAACATTATTAATGTCAATAATGAAACGTTACAATGTATCTAATTATTTACGTGTTCAGCGATAAACACACGGGTGCTGAACGGACACGCTGTCATTTTCACTTGTACATGTACCTATGCTTGTTTACACCTGACGCGTTATAATTTCAAATTAAGTTATCTTTTATTAACAAAATATCAAAGTACTATCTGTAATATATTGTAATATACATTTTTGTGAAATTCTCATCAATTAATAAATATTTACCACTTTATTTATGAGAACTCAGATGTGTTGAAATTCACAACGTCATTATGACGTTCCGTAAAATGTACGAAATTCGGCCATATACAAATGCTATTTTGAAGACCTCTTACAGAAAATTTAAAAGAGATACTGAAAAAAGAAAATTGGTTTGAAAAAATATACAGTCTGTAGATATACCTAGAGGTAAAATTGTCCTATTTTGAAAACAGGCGGATTTGTGTACTTTCTGACTCAAGCTCTTTGTTTGCGAAAATACCGCGAAATATTAGTTTTTCGCGTTAACTCTGCAACACAGTAAAATCTCAAATGATGGAGAACCCTGATGTAAATTAATATGTCAAAAAGCAGGGTTGTGGTTAACCACTCGCCCACTTGCCAATGCGATTAAAATTTCAAGTGGGTGATGAAGAAATCAAAATTTGACCACCCACATGGCAAGCGTCTTGTTCCCAGAACATGACTGTGCTTTGTTTGTATTTTTATAATCCATTTCCTTTTTTTTTATAACAAACACTACACTAACCATGACTTTTGGTGTCATGTGCATACTATTATATTTGTATACAATACAAGCACTTGCGTGACCTAGACGTACGCCCTAGTGAAACCAATACTGTGGCGGTTTAGAAAAGCAACATTTTCAAATATTTTGTTGATGAGGTATGTGGGCGCGTAAAACACATTGTGGGCCCCTAAACTTTGAAAAGTAAGGGGCCCACATGGCTCCTAGGATGTAAATGGTTAACCACAACCCTGAATAGCATGCAGAACCATCCCTCTCAAATTTCTCCAACACATTTTGAAATCCTACCCATAATGCTTTGCAGTGCCCCACGGGCATAGGCAGACAACAATGAGACCTGTGGGGTGACAGGTGGGGGTGACGGCGACCCCCTCAAAATAACCGAGAGTGGGGAAACCCTACCTGAGGATGCTGAAATACATCACCAATACGAATCATTTATATTGCAATCTGTTTAATTTGTAGTTCAAACGCAAGTATTCTCAATTCCTGATTTCAAATACAACTAGGTAAAATAAATGACCACAAGGCATAGTCTATACATGCAAACCTGAAGCAGATAAAGGAGAAAGCCTATGCAACATGACAGGGGTGGACCTATGATTCTGGGGGGTGGCAGGGGCAGTCTGAAGAGGGGACTGCCTACCGTTGAGCAGGTGAGGTGGGATAGGGCCTGGGGGTGTGGCTCCAAGAGGACCGTCCCCACCCCTCGGTGGAAAGGGCCCCTGTCCCATCGGTGAACGCCTGCCATCCATCATTGGAAGATATGGGCTATACCCTGGTGGTATGCGCTGAAAAACAAGATGTCTTCTTTAAAATTGCTTGCTTCATACAAAGTAAAACACATTTATCATTGGTAGCACATAATTTCACATCAAAAAGTATTATTCTAGTGAAAGTATTTCTCAAGCATTTTGTTTTAAATATTGTCTAATAATTTCATCATTTTGTACCTGAACAGTTCAGTGAGTTTAATTTAATCAGTTTAGTTTATCTCTTCTGCCTACAAACCTGTGGGGTCTGGTTTCTGGGGCCTGGCGATCCGAGCAGGAACCCAGGAGGTGGGTGTTGGAGTCTGGGGTCAGAGGAAGGGGGGACCTTTTGATCCTCCCCACGAAGCTGTCGCTCCAAATCCTCTGCTGTCATTGCGTGACCTTTTGACCCTGGGAGTAATTGCTGCTCAAGCTCTTCCAATGTTCTTCCTGGGGTGGACACTACTGGGGCACCCTAAGGGGGAAAATACAAGGTATATTCATCAATTGGAAAGAAACTAATGAAAAGAAATCTAAAATACAAAGTACATTTATAGCTTCTCCTGTACAGTCACCTAGTAGATACAGTCACCTACATGTAGTAGATACCTCTTTAAATCAACCGAGATGATGAAATTTTTAATAAAGCCTCATAAAAATGAAAAATACATCATTTGAAAAAAATCAACACACAAAGAGGCCTCTACTAGGCAATGTATTTTTCAGTTCATATAAATTATTTTACCCTCCCCCCTTTCCATCAGAAGTGGGTGTTTGTCATGTTTGTGTGTTCTGTTTTTTTTATATTTAGAACTTTGTTTGAACTTTGAAGCTCAGGGGCTAAAATTGGGGATGATTTTATCAATTCAAAATTGACCTACATGTTAACATAAAGAACAAAGTACACACAGTATCTAATGATTAAATACATGTAAATATAAAGGATGATACACTGGACTATTGGTGTCTCTTTATCTATTTGGCTGATAAGATATTAAACAGGTTTATTCCTCCCATTGAGAAGTGCACCACAGTTTGGCGGGGTAAGATTTATGTACATATTTTCTTTCTTTCTTTTATTCCTTTATAAACTAACAAATTTTGAAGACAAATCATTTTTTTTATCTAAATTTTCAGACATAAAAAAAAAATTAGATTGAAACCCCAACTGACACAATGGACTCAAGATTTTGTGCCCAGGACATCCTGAGATGTGACTTCTGCAAAGACCGAGTTGTACAAATGTACTGTAACTTGTGTCCAATGAGCCTGTGTAAGAATTGTGTGGTGGACCACATCTCCGATGTCTCTAAGAAGCATGATGTGGTGCCAATTGCTTTGAAAAGATCCAAACTTGTGTACCCTCAATGTTCAACTCATACTGAAGAGCACTGCGAAATGCACTGTGAAGATTGCAATACTTTGGTGTGTCAGAAATGTGTCATTTCTGATGAGCATAAGCGACACCATTTCAAAAGTCTACAGGACTTAGTTAACTCCAAGAAAGAAAGCATTGAAAAGGAAAGAAAAAGACTGAAAGAAACGGTTTACTCAACATTTGAAGAAAATATTACTGACATAGAAACCCAGCTAGCTGAAATTGATGGAAAATATGAGAAACTTGCATCAGAGGTCACAAAACATGGAGAAGAATGGCACAGAGAAATTGACAAAGTTATAGAGAAAAACAAAGAAGAAATCAATGAGATGAGAAACCAACACAGAGATGCACTAATCAAACATCTACATGATATGAAGAAACTTGCAGCTGATATCAAACAGTCTATATCCGAAACTGAGGACATTTTACAATCTAAAGAAGTAACCAGATCACTTTCCTATGAGATAAATTCAGATAAATTCAACAAACTTCCATCCAAACTGATAGTCAAGTCTCCTGAGTTTACTGGAAATAATAATCATAAACAATGTTCTCAAATGTTTGGTTCTCTGTCAACATTATCCATTACAGAAGCTGTATCCAGTCTTCCAGTCAAACCACTGCTTGATGAACCAGAGCTCATCACCACCATAGACACTGAGTATAAAAACATATTCAGTGTTACCTGTCTCAGTGATGAAGAAATCTGGACATGTGGAAATGACAAAATCATGAAACTCTACAACCTCCAGGGCAAACTACTGAAGTCAATCCAAACCAAGTCTAAGAATGAACCACAGGACATAGCAGTGACAAGGAGTGGAGATCTAGTTTATACTGACCCTGGTACAAGAACTGTAAACATAGAGAAGAATGACCAGATACAGGAAGTTATAAGACTACAGGGATGGAAACCTTACTTTGTCTGTAGTACCTCCTCTGATGACCTCCTGGTTACCATGAACAGTGATGATGATAAACAATCTAAAGTTGTCCGTTACTCTGGCTCCACAGAGAAACAAACCATTCAGTTTGATAGTGAAGGTAAACCTCTGTATTCATCTGGTGAGCTTAAATACATCAGTAAGAACAAGAACCTGGATATCTGTGTGGCTGACCATAAAGCCCGTGCAGTAGTGGTGGTTAATCAGGCAGGAAAACTCCGATTTAGATACACTGGTCATCCCTCTACTACCAAGAGATCATTTGGTCCAGTCGGTATCACAACAGACAGCCAGAGTCAGATCCTGACAGCAGACCATTACAACGACTGTATCCACATCCTAGATCAGGACGGACAGTTCCTCTGTTACATTGATAACTGTGATCTATACCGTCCATTGGGTTTATGTGTAGACACCAGAGACAACCTCTTTGTGGCTGAGTGTCTCAGTGGTAAAGTGAAGAAAATCAAGTACATGTAAACAGAGTGTTCATTCATCTCATAAGAAATGTTTGTGAAAGATTTTTTTCCATCATAGGAAAGTAACAAGCAGCAGTTCAAATATGTTAATTGTGTAATTCAATCAAAGTACTGAAAGTACTGATAGGCGGAAGCATAGTTGCAAAAATGTAATACGACACTTGTATTAAGGTATTGAAGTAAAAGGGCCTATTAACATGTTGTTGGATTTTAGTATTGAAGATAAGAGATAAATTATCTCTTTTTTGGAGGGGTATAAGAAGTTGTGAAGTCAATAATAAAAGTTGTAAACATTTTGTTTTAGTTAAGTAAACAAGAGGCCCACGGGCCTTATAGGTCACCTGAGTATTTGTAACAACTTTCAAACACTTGAATTTGGATTAAACCAGAGGCCATGAAATTCACAATTCACAATTTTGAAAGAGGCACCATTGCTTATCATAATTATTAACTTAACATGCTTACTCTGTTTACTTAATACCCAGAGGTAGATCAGAGTAACAAAGAGAAAATCCACTTCCACTTTATACCCAGTTGTGCACCTCACCCTAAAGGAACCACTGACCCAGGGGCCACATATTTCAAAATTTTGCAAATTTTAAAACAAAATAGTTGATTAATACCAAAGAGCAGATTTAAAAGCATTAATTTATTTTCAGACTATGTAGCCCCCCCCCCTCCTCTGACCTAGGGGGCATAAAATTCACAATTTTATAGGAGGCACTCTTGCTCATCATAACTATGTGCTTAGTTAGTTTATTTAATACCCAAAAGCAGAGAAGAAGATTTTCAAAGAATAAATGCATTTTCACTATATGATCAATAGAGCCCCCCCCCCCAACACCAGAACCCTTAACCCTGGGGCCATAAATTCACAAATCTGGAAAAGGCAATCTTGCTCATCATAACTATGTGCTTAGTTAGTTTATTTAATACTCAGAAGCAGAGGAGAAGATTTTCAAAGAATTGCATTTTCACTTTGTAATCAATAGAGCCCTGCCCTAACACAAGAACCCCTGACCCTGGGGCCATAAAATTCACAATTTTGGAAAAGGCACTCTTGCTCATCATAACTATGTACTTAGTTAGTTTATTTAATACCCAGAAGCAGAGAAGAAGATTTTCAAAGAAATAATGCATTTTCACTATATAATTCATAGAGCCCCGCCCTAACACCAGAACCCCTGACCCTGGGGCCATAAAATTTACAAATCTGGAAGAGGCACTCTTGCTCATCATAACTATGTACTTAGTTAGTTTATTTAATACCCAGGAGCAGAGAAGAAGATTTTCAAAGAATAAATGCATTTTCACTATATAATTCATAGAGCCCCGCCCTAACACCAGAACCCCTGACCCTGGGGCCATAAAATTCACAAATCTGGAAGAGGCACTCTTGCTCATCATAAATATGTTCTTAGTTAGTTTATTTAATACCCAGAAGCAGAGAAGAAGATTTTCAAAGAATAAATGCATTTTCACTATATAATTCATAGAGCCCCGCCCTAACACCAGAACCCCTGACCCTGGGGCCATAGAATTCACAAATCTGGTGGAGGCACTCTTGCTCATCATAACTATGTACTTAGTTAGTTTATTTAATACCCAGGAGCAGAGAAGAAGATTTTCAAAGAATAAATGCATTTTCACTATATAATTCATAGAGCCCCGCCCTAACACCAGAACCCCTGACCCTGGGGACATAAAATTCACAAATCTGGAAGAGGCACTCTTGCTCATCATAACTATGTACTTAGTTAGTTTATTTAATACCCAGGAGCAGAGAAGAAGATTTTCAAAGAAATAATGCATTTTCACTATATAATCTATATAGCCCCGCCCTAGCACTAGAACCCCTGACCCTGGGGCCATGAATTTCACAATTTTGGTAGAGGACTCAATGTTCATTACATTCATGTCAACAGTTTGCCTGCTTGATGTCCAGGAGTAAAGAAGAAGATTTTTAAAGATTGCACTAATTCTAGTGGTTTTGGCCCCACCCCTCAGGCCCCAGGGGGGTGGGGACCATGAAATTCACAATTTTTGTTCCCCTTCACCTATGGATGCTGTATACCAAATTTGGTTGAAATTGGTTCAGTGGTTTCAGAGAAGAAGCTGAAAATGTTGAAATGTTAACACACGACACACGACGGACGACGGACGACGACGGACGAAAACAGATAGCAATAGGTCACCTGAGTTACTCAGGTGACCTAAAAAGTTTATAAGTGAAAGTAACATCGTAAACTGAAGGAATTATCTACCGTATGTAAAATGATTACTTATGGACAATAGAAAACATAAAATATCACAACTGTTTCTGGTCATTTTGTGTAAATTGAAATAGTAAGAATGAAACAACATGTATTGATTAAAAACAAATTTAAGGAGGTTGTTCATGTTAAAAGTAATAGTTTGTCCAAAACTGAGATTATGGTTTAATAAGACACAAACAATATATACTATATACAAGTAATCATATCCCATGGGTTACTGTTTTTATGCCCCCGGATCGAAAGAACAGGGGTATATTGTTTTTGTCCTTTCTGTCTTTCTGTTTGTCCCACAACTTTAACCTAGCCAATAACTATTGAGTGGTTGGGGCTATGGTTCTCATAATTCATAGGTGTGTTACTTGTGACATGACCTTTCTTTGGGCACCACCAAATTTGACCTCTTCACCTTGGAGTTTGACCTACTTTTATTTCATTTATCAACTTTAACTTTCACCATAACTTTTAAACAGATCGAGACTTTATATTTAAAATGCTTACTCCACTAAATAAGCACTTTCAACTGACACCAAGGACAATGACCTTTTGACCTTGACTGTGACCTATATGCTAAAAATAGATTTTTCGAACTTTCGGTATAACTTTTGAACCATAAGAGATAGAGACCAATACAAGAAGGAACGTGTGCTAAATTTTATTGTCTATGAATACTTTTGTACATGTTTTGAAACAAGTAAACAGTAATAATGAAATCAACTTTGTTCGGTAATATTTGTATATTTTCTTTAAAGTAAATGGACATTTTTTTCAAACTCTCTTGCAATGAGTTACTAATATTTTGAATTTCTGATTACACTGTAATCTTAAGAAAAATTATCAGTTGGTAAGGTAAATTGTATAGGTCCTTAATAATTCAGAAAATACAAAACACAATCTGGTGTAACAAATCACAACTGTAACTGATAAAGCTGCACAATGTTAAGCAGAGCTTGTGGTATAATGTATTTATTACATGTATCATTGTGTTGGTTTTGTATATTACAATTAACAACATGTTGCACAACTTGTTTAACATATGTACAGAATGCTTATAAGTGATAACAAATTTCTAATTAATCATGAAGTAAATGAAAAAAATGAGGAAACATAACAGCAAACCAACAGAAAAATTTCACTATCTTTCTAAAATCGAAGAAAAGGAAACCATGTTCAAATGTGTGCTGTAGTAGAAATCAATAAACAGTAAATTATGTCCAACTTAGACAAATATGATAAACAAAAATTTCAAAAACTGAATGTTGAAACTGAAATCTTCCATCTCATTGTAAAAGACAAGATTTCAAATTATAAAATATTTAGATTTCACAATTGTACTAAGACAACAAAAATATGGATTGCATGAACACAATACAGAACAACTTTCTTTAAATTTAACTGAGGAGAGAACAGAATATGAAAATAAAATTGCAAGTTGATGTCAAAGGAAGACATATTTCTGAAAATATTAACATGCACATTTTTGTAGTTATGCAATTAAATGCACTAACAATATAAGTTTGTTGACTATTTCACTGATTTGTACAATTTTTTGGCATTATTAGTAGCAATTAAAACAAGAATTAATTCAAAGTCTATTAAGCATTTCAAGATGGCTCCAAAGGTACTACAAAAGTCCATCATGCCCAGACTACTGCCTCTTCCAGTAATTTTTCCTACAAAATGTAAATATATAGTAAGTTGAAACATCTCATAATACTTTACAATACATCTGACTATTTATCAAGGAAATGAAGGATTTCAAATTTCCCCCCCCCCCCCCTTTTTTTGGATATTTTGAATCTATTTTCACATTTTGTCTGATAATCTGACTATTGTAAGTATATATATACATGTGTTTGTATGAAAACAGATGAAATGAATACAGTAAAACTCGGTTATAACGAAGTCGCTGGGACCTATGAAATCACTTCGCTATATCCGTAATTCGTTATAACCGTATAAGAAAGTCATTAAATTCATATAGCTGGGGATTCAAACTGACTTCGCTATATCAGTAAATTCGTTATATCCGTGTTCGTACTAAACGAGTTTTACTGTATAAAGAACACAAGATATGGATTGATATAAAGTTACGATAAATGGAGAAATTAAAGAACTTTAAAAAGGAAATTTGTATTTTTGCCAACTTGTAAATTATTATTTTAGGAAGAACATTTGTTACATATATATAATATCAACCGTATGTATCATAATTCTTACACTCATACTTATAATAGATTTTTCTTTATTAAATATCATAAGATTAGTTAAAGTATACTCACCTTCATATGTTGTGGTGGATTTTGTTTCCTTCTGTCATTCAAAAGTGACAGAAGGTGAAGTTTCCACATAGGCCTATTCACCAATCTTAATGGCCTCCCTTTTCCTCCTTGGGGATAAAGGTAAGGCTGTTGTTGATCCCTCTTGTGGGATAAAGTCATCTAGTTTCTTTGCATTCATCTTAAAGTATAAACAGGTAATGTGTTTATAAAATTTCAAGCATATTTCAAACATAGGTAATCAGAGATTACAGAGCTCACCTCAACGTGTGTTGTCTTTAAGTAAGGCAAATTAAGTCACACAATTAACCAACAAAAAGTGTACATCCAAAAATGCAAAATTTATACAAATTTGATACTTTGGAATAGACCTATATAAAAACTAAAAACTAGTTCTTCATCATGAAAATGTAATTAAAATCCAGCATCTGAAGCAAGATTGAGAGTTTTCATCCCTTGATGCATCATTTGTGCAACTGGTTTATATAAGCCTTATAGTTTCTTGGTGATAGACTTGCACCCATAACTTTTA